TCCCGCGCGCTCTTGCGGATTTGTCGGAAACCCAACACTTTTTAAACATTTCTGTCAAATGGGCTTTTCCGAGCAACTTGTTCACGTGCTTCGAACTTCTCCAACAACGGTTGCGCACCTGCCAGGGCCATCATCCCTGTCAAATAATACCATGCGGGACACATTCGTTTTTTCTTTGCGCGCGCACGCCGAAATCTTCAAAAACCATTGGGTTTCGTAGGAATTTTAGCACCGCGCAACATAAAATCATACGAATCGCACCGTAGGTCCTGGAAAAACATCTGTACGAATTTTCAGCTTGGAGTGTTGGAACAGGGGGAAACGTCGTATACTAAGCTAGCGTCCAGAAAATGTTACCACAACAAGTCACTGTACCCATGCGCCAGTGTAGTAGCCACGGTCGTCCGCAGGCCACGAAGTGAAGTGTCCGAACGTCATAGGGCGGGAAGCTGGGTGTGGGTGGTGGCGAAGAGTCGTTTGGAAATGTGGTAGAGCTTGAACCGGCCCCCCACAAAGTGGGGGTATTGGCGGGCGTCGTATGAAAACCCTGGCACTGGTGAGAACGGAGTGTCCCCACGTGCTAGTAATTGTTGTTGTTGTTGTTGTTGTTGTTGTTGTTGTTGTTGTTGTTGTTGTTGTTGTTGTTGAATACTCGTTTTCAAGGTTCTGCGCGCTCTCGCCTCGACTCCGGCTACATTTTCTCTGAAAACGAAGCTCCCGCTCGAGCGTTGGCTCGAGCCTAAATGTGGGCCCTTGGAGGCCCAGCTATGACAACGACGGCTCCCGCTCGATACTTCCTCACAATTTACCCCGAGACACCCTGGCCAGGGAGGCCCCCGAACTCAGGAACGGCGCTCTCGCTCGAGACTTCCTCGCAATTCGATTAAGTTGGCGGGGGCCCAGCCACGACGACAAGGGCTCCTGCTCGATACTCCCTCACGATTTACTCAGAGAGCCCCTGGCCACGAAGGCCCCCGAACTCAGGCAAGTTGGTGGAGGCCCAGACACGGCGACAAGGGCGCCCGTTTTATATTTCGCCGTAGGTATTCCGATAGCACCTGGCCAGACGCCCCCGAACTCAGAAACGTGGGGCCCCGAAGACGTCCAAGAGCGCCCCAAGAGGGCCGTGAGGGCCCCAAGAGGGCCTTGAAGAGGCACAAATCGGCCCATTTCTTTTGAAAACGTGCATTTTCGGCAAACTCGCTGGCTTCGTCTTCGCAGTGCCCTAGACGCCCCCGAGGAGCCCCAAAACAGCCCAAGAGAGACCCACGAGGGTCCCAGACGGCCCAAAAGGGTCGTCCTGTGGGGCTCACGGAATCCCCCGAGACGGCCCAGCAGGAGGCCCCAGAGCCGGCCCGGGAGGCCCCCAAGACGGCCTCAGGGAGGCCCAAGAGGGCCCCGTTCGAAATCATGTTCCCGGAAGCCTCTCCGGGAACATTACTTCCGGGCTCCCAGGGCCCCCTACTGGGCCCCAGGACAGCCTCAGCGAGGCCCGGGCCCGAGATGGCTTGAAAATGGCCGAAAGGGGCCCCGAGAGGGCACCAGAGGGCCTTCAAGAGGCAAACATCGGCCCATTTCTTTTGTAAAACGTGCATTTTCGGCATACTCGCTGGCTTCGTCTTCGCAGTGCCCCAGACGCCCCTGCGGAACCCCAAGACAGCCCCAGAGAGACCCAAGAGGGCCCAAGACGGCCCAAAAGGGTCGGCCTTTTGGGCTCACATAACCCCCCGAGACGGCCCAAGAGGCCCGAGAGCCGGCCCAGGAGTCTCCCAAGACGGCCTCAGGGAGGCCCAAGAGGGCCCCGTTCGAAATCATGTTCGCGGAAGGGAATATGATTTCCGGGTTCCCAGGGCCCCCCACAGGGCCCCAGGACAGCCTCAGCAAGGCCCACGAGGGCCTGAGATGGCTTCAAGATGGCCGAAGAGGGCCCCAAGAGGGTCTTCAAAAGGCAAACATCAGCCCGTCCCCGTAGTAAAACGTACATGTTCAGCATACTCCCTTGCTTCGTCTTCGCAGTGCCCTAGACGCCCCCGAGGAGCCCCAAGACAGCCCAAGAGAGACCCACGAGGGTCCCAGACGGCCCAAAAGGGTCGTCCTGTGGGGCTCACGGAACCTCCCAAGACGGCCCAAGAGGCCCCAAAGCCAGCCCAGGAGGCCCCCAAGACGGCCTCAAGGAGGCCCAAGAGGGCCCCGTTCGAAATCATGTTCCCGGAAGCCTCTCTGGGAACATGATTCCAGTGTTCCCAGGACGCCCAAAGACAGCCCTCAGAGGCCCCGGACACGCCGAAGATGGCCTCAGGACGGCCGACGACGCCGCCAAAACGCCCCAAGAGCGCCTCCAGAGGCCCCTCCACAGGGCCCCAGAAGCCGACTTACCTCAGGTTTTTGAAGCATTCTTGCGCTCTCCCATGTTCCGCCTCCCCACGGTCCCGGACCGCGTCAGAGGCCCTTCAGATTGCTCCAAAACGGCCGAAGAGGCCCCCAAGAAAGCCCAGAGACGGCCCAGGAGGCTCCCCAGATCAGTCAAGAGGGCCTCGAGAGCGCCCCAAGAGAGCCCCAAGTGCGACCCAAAGGGCCCGAAGAGCGCGACATTTCAAGGTCTCCGGCCTGAGAGGCTCCTGGGACGCCCCCAGAGAGGCCATCAAGAGGCTCCCAAGAAGCCCCGTGAGGCTCCCAAGAGGCCCCCAATAAGCCCAAATATGGTCCCAAGGGGCCCCCAGGGAAGCCCCCTGCGGGCCCCCAAGACACTTCGGTAAGTCGTACTTCCCAGATAGCTTTCCAGGAACATGATTCCTTAGGCTTCCGCCCACCGCCCCAACCATGTTTCCAATAGGCTTGCCGACAAGGCCAAAAGGCGCCCCTCGGTAAGTCCCCAGAGGCCCCTTTCTTAGAGAGCCGAACAGAGATCATGCTCCTGGAAAGCTTCCCGGGAACATGATTCTCTATCTCGGAGTAGGCCCAAGGGGGGGGGGGGGCGGGCCGCTGCCTGTTCCCCCCATCGGTGCCCACCGGGGGTTGCGGGGGGGGTCCAGAGCTCCCGAAGCGGCCCGAGCCCGCCCCGAAGCAGGCCACGACAGGCTAAGGGGGTCCCAAGAGGGCCCAAGACGTCCCAAGACGGTCCCACGAAGCCCCGAAGACGCCCAAGATGCCTTCAAGACAGGCGACGAGGACTCAAAAACGCTCCAGGACGGACTCAAGACGCAACCCAAGAGGGCCCTGGAAGGCAAGATTCACTCGTTTTCCCAGTGTTTTGGATTTTGGCGTTCTCGCTTTTCCGCTTTCCAGCGCTCCCTTCACGGCCTCGGAGACCCTTCAGATCGCTCCAAGAAGGCCCACGAGGCCCCGACGAGGGCCCCAAGACGGCCCAGGATGCTCCCCAGACACCACCCACGTCTTTGTGCCTTAGAGCGCCGCCAAGAGTAGGCCAAAAAGGGGGTCCTCTGAGAGGGTCCTTGACGGTTCAAGAGATCCGAAGAGCCAAGCTTCTTGTTTTTAGTTTTTCTTTTGTTTTTTTTTCTTTATCTTTGTTTGTTTTTCGATCTTTTGTTTTTTTGTTTTTGTTTGCTTTTTTGTTTTTTTTTTTTTGGTATTCTTTTTTTATTTTGCTTTTTATGTTTTTTCGTGGTTTCTTTTTTGTTTTTTTTTTTTTTATTTTTTTTATTTTTTGTTTTTTTTCTGATTTTTTATTGTCTTTTTTTTTTCCTTATTGTTTGTGTTCTTCATTTTAATTTTTTTTCTTTCTTTTCGGTTTTTTTTTTTCTTATTGTTTTGTTTTTTTGTCATTTTTCTTCTTTGTAATTTGATTTTTTTTTGTTTTGTTTTTTATTTTTTTTTTAGGCTATTGTTTCGTTGTTTTTTTTTTTATCTTGCCTCAAGACGGCCGACGAAGATTCCAACATGCTCCAGGACGGACTCAAGAGGCTCCCCAAGAGGGCCCTGGGAGGCAAGATTCACTAATTTTCCGATGGTTTTTGAAGGATTTAGGCGTTCTCGCTTTCTCCGCTTCCCAGCGCTCCCTCACGGCCTCGCTCGGAGGCCCTTCAGATCGTTCCAAGACGGGCCACGAGGCCCCGAAGAGGGCCCCAAGACGGCCCAAGAGGCTCCCCAGACAACCCAATTGTGCCCCAAGAGCTCCCTAAGAGAGGGCCCAGAGGGGGACCGCCAACCGATATTTCGGGCCCTAGAGGCCGCCTGTAGGCCCCCGGAGGCCACCAAGAGGCTCCCACGAAGCCCCGTGAGGCGCCCAAGAGGCCCCCAGGAAGCCCCAAGAGACCCCCAAGGGGCTCCCAGGGAACGCCCAAGAGGCACCCCAACACACCCCAAGAAATCATGTCCCCAGAAAACCTTCCGGGGACATGGTTCATCATGGGCCCGAGAGTTCCCAGAGGCCCCCAAGGGGCCCCCAGAGAGCGCCCAAGAGACCCCCCAACACACCCCAACAAACCATGTCCCCAGAAAGCCTTCCGGGGACCTGGTTCATCATGGGCCCGCGAGTCTCTGGAGGCTTCGAAGTACCATCATGCTACAGGAGAGCTGTCTGGGAAGATGATTGGGAACATGACCGATCGCCTTCTCGCGGCCCTCCGCAGATCGTTTCGCGTAAAGTTGCCCGTCGACGAAACGACGACGACGACGACGACGACGACGACGACGACGACGACGACGACGACGACGACGACGACGACGACGACGGCGGCGGCCCCCAATAGGCGACGACGACATTACGACGACGACGACGACGACGGCACGCCCCAACAGGCTCCCCAAGACGCCTCCAAACCCATGCTCCCAGAAGGCCTTCTTGGAACCCGATTCATACGGCCTCCGCCCCCCTACACAACCATTTTCCTCGAAGGCCTTTCGAAATGCAGATTGGCATGCGTGTACTGTGGTCCACTACTTTAGTGGAGCAATGAATTCGTCAAGGCCTAGGGCCTGCTAGAACCTGAGCGCGCGCGAAGCGCGCGCGATGGTTCTAGTGTGTGTGTATATATAGATATATGTATAAATGCGTGTTGTTCCGACGACAGCACGACCAGGCATGGCAACACATTTTTTGGGGCGGGAGGCTCGTGGCAACCCTGCTGGCCCTGCCCGCGTTCTGCCTCGGGCTCTACGGGGCCGCGGGCTTCTCGGCGCAGCTGCGGCACGGCGGCTGCGCGGGCGCCGCGGAGGCGCTGGCGCTGGCCCTCGTCGTGGCGCTGCTGCTCCTCGGGCTGGCGTGGTTCGCCGAGGGGGAAGACCTTGGCATCGCTCGGACGTGTGCATTTTTGCTTCGGCGAGGGCCATCGAGAAGCATTCTTGATGAATTGGCGAAAAAGCCACGCACGAAACCGAAAAAAACACAGGAAATGGACGTCCGAGCGATGGCCAGAGACTCATCCTTGAGAACAACAGGGCTCCTAACTCGGAGGAGGGGAAGGTACTCGTACCGCTACCCTTCGTCCGTTTTCCCCTTTTTGGGCCTCCTGGGCCTCCGTCGTCGCCACCGCTGGATTCACCTCGAAATTCTTGTCAGAACGCACCCCGGGAGAGGCCCGGGGAGCAGCGGTAGCGGCACCGTGTAGTGTCCCCACTAACCCTAATATTGAAGACGTGGCCTCACTCAGGTACCCGTCTTCGCATTAGGGATCATACATTTGGGCGGTTTGGCTTGGTACGATACGACCCCCTGTCCCTAATGTTTCTGGCCCTTCTACCTAAACAAAAAGGGTTAGGGGTCCTTTTTTGGTTGATCGACACAGGGGCAACAATAGAGTCAACCCGCATAGTAAGGATGGGCATCCTTCCCAAGGGTACCCTTGCATCCTTGCCTCCTCGGCCCATCCTTGGCCGCTTTCGCTGGCCGCGCCCCGCTCGCAAAGCTCCGAAACGGCCTGCCAAGGCCCTTGCATCATGCGGCGTTGGTACGCCGGCGACGCGGCGAAGGCGTTCAAGGTTGAATGGTGCGATGCGCAAGCACGGAGGGACATGGTGACGCCACTGGACCCAGCGGAATTCAACCTTGAACGATCGGGGCCGCGATCGATTCAAGGTTGATCGATCAACGGGGTGACAAAAACCTTCGCGCGCGCCGACGCCACGCGAACCTACCGTAGGCATGAGGGGCAAGGACCAGGGGGAGGAGGTTCGAGGGCTCGAGGTTTTTGACGTTTTCGCTGGTTCACGGTCTTTTGCCAGCCTCGGGACGTCTTCCAGCAGCTGCGCTTCGCCGAGGGCGGTCTTGGGGTGTCCAGATCGCCTTTGTAGTCCTGGCCTTTGCAACAACAAACACGATAAAACCAAATGATGTCATTCAAACAAGTCGCCACATCACAATCAAATCCTACGATAATATGGGAATGTACATGCAAGAACGATCTGCAAGCACGCGCACTTGATTCGTATGGCCATACACAACAATTGGCTGAATGGTGCGTTCATGTACGCACTACGTGTGCTACACGACTGTTGGACCATATTTACCAAGAGTGCAGTGACGATGCTAAGATGCGTCGCGCTGCGTGTGCTAAGATGCGTCGATGCATTTTGATGCGTGACACTGCGGAGCAGTGCCAAGCATCAAAATGCATAGACTTCTCTTAGCGCGTGCAACAGCACCGACAAAAATGTCAAGCACTTTGTCACCACTACAAGGAATTGACCCAAATTGGTACTGTGGTGCGGTCCGTAACGGTTGATTTCGACAAACATAGTAACCTACAGGAATCACACGTTGAGGATCAACCAATTGGATGCGGCTGGCATGTCGACTTACCGGCAGTTGCACGCAATACGACCGCGTTCTCGATTGGCAGACAGAAGATACGAGCGTGCTCGGAGACGAGCACAGCCGTAAACGCCCAAACGAGAGACACCCCGTCGTCATAGGCGATCGTTTTTCTCAGCTCCCGATTTTTTGGCGCGCAAATGAACAACTTACGCAGCAATCAGGGTTCCCAACCGAAGCCCGGATCAAACAGAAAACGAAACTCAACACATAGTCGGAAGCAGGGATACAGCCACGCAAGGTTACATTTCACGTCGCATTTGGAAGCGACGATGGTGGCGACGACTTGAAAAGGCTCCAGCTTGGACGCGAATGCCATCCACTTGAGCGCAGATGCGCCCGCGGAGGAACTAGAGTCCGATGATAATGAGGAGGACAAGTGCGTCTGTGTTCCATCACGGGTGCAAGCCGATAGACCCAGATATTCTTTCCGCAGTACGTACACGATGCTACGGCTCCAACGGCAATGGCGGCATCACCAGGACAGCTCCCAAGCGTGGCTAATTTCGAGCGGGGGCCTAAGCACGAAAACGAATGTTGATTTGGGCAGTTATGATACACAGAAGTTGATATTACACGACTTACGCAACTGCCACGTGAAGAGTTCAATGTTGCAATATAGCAGCAGGACAATGGGGCCACCGTCTTGGTCTAACGTTTAGGTCAATTGCGAAGCATGGCTACACCACCATCAATAATACTTACCACGAATTATATAATGTGGCTTTGTAGCCGAGACCCAAGGCAACTTGAGTCGGCGTTACACCTGAGAGCGGCTGCCCGATACGTGGGTAGACCAGCCGAGATCGCCAGCGCACGAATACGGTTCAGCTAATTATGAATCGGTGTGCTACGAGCTTCAACACGGCTGACGTCATTCACGTTAAGCAGTTGGTTCGCACTCTGGCCAGTGACCCCGTCGTGTCTTGACCTGTCAAGAGTTTGACATGCGACGGGACGCAAGGCCTTGCACAAGTCTGCGATCGAACCCTTGCCAACGCAGCCTTCTATACTCACCGCATACAGGCGGCACTCGCCCAGGCCATTCGGCTAATGCGAGACAAGGCAGCGCATGGGCGCGTGCTGGGCCCTGGGCGCGGAGACGCGCGGGGGTACCTTGTGGACCGCGGGTTGACCTCGCGGACCCTGCGATCCCCGGGGCGCGTGCAGGCGTCGCGATATCTCCCCGCCAGGGGATTCGCATGCCCAGCTTGCGCAGGCACTGTCTTCATGACTAGCCTTGAGGACGCGCGCGGTCCCAAACATTGCCGCTGGCGTGACAAGTCCGTAGTCTACTGGGGGTGCCCGAACCGCGAGAAAGACTGCGGACGGAAGGTGCCAAGACATTGTCCCGTTACAGGCGAATGCAGGTTTGCCGTTCCACGTGAACTGCCACCAGGCCGCGGCGCGCGCCCGCCGCGCCAGCAGCTGTGGGGCCTCAACAGCAGCAGCTTCGGGTCTACGCGACGGCCAACCACGAGCACCCCGACCGGCCGCGCGGTTGGGCCCAGGCGCGAACGCGTGGCATTCGCGCGGGGACGCGCCAAATTTAGATGGGCAAGCTAGGGGCCGGCGCGGCAGATTTCTGGGCGTCGCGCCATCGTCCAGGGAGCAGGACTCGTGGTGCACCGCCGCAGCTCCGAGATTGGATTTGATTCGATGTCCAAATGAGCCTTCAGAACCTTAGGGGCCATGGCCCAGCAGATGTCAGACGTGAACTGCAGACGATGCACCTCAACTGGCATCGCGCCAAATGGCCCCGGGCGCGGCTAGTTCTTCCAAGGGTGGGCCTCGACTGTCCGTCTAGGCGTGATCAAGGAGGTTTACGAGTCTGCGACATTTGCAGAGAACATCGCGCGTGGGAGGGGCCTGGGGGCCCCGCCGTGTCGCGCGTTAGCCTGCTGGGCCACTTCAACGTGGAGGTGGGGTTCGACCTGATGTATAACAAGAAACATGTCGTCTTCCATATGTGACCGACCGCTGCGAAAGACCGATCGCAAGACGGGATATCCTCGGCCGTGACGTGCGTGCCATCTTTGATGCCTATCACTGTTGCTGCGGAATGTGCGACAACTTGCCCATATTCCAATGGGGGAGACAACGAGGCGGCGGAAACCGCCCTAGAGAAAAAGGCACCGAGCTTCGGACGCGAGCTCCAGGCCAACGCGCCGTTGCCGTCGAGGCTAGGGGTGGTGTCTTATACGACGCAGTGCGCATGGTGGACGAAATTTCAATCAAGGGACGGACCGATCGCCGAGGGAATATTCGCTTTCCGGTGCTTTCGCTTTCTACAGCTGGGTCTCGCCCGACTGTTCGCTTCTTGGGCGTCGGCCGGCTTGCGTGTCCGACTCGAACTTGCCAGGCCATGGGTTACCGACGGAGTCTGATAGCAGCAGGGAACAGCAGGTGCCCCAAGTGAGTGTAGAGGCCAGGGCGCAGGTGCATGCAGTGGAGAATGCCAATCAAGCTCTGAAGACAACCTCCACACAGGCTGTACAGCGTCACTGCGACCTGTTGATCCAGTTGACTACCATAGGCCTACGGCGAACAAGGACAGGGGAGTGAACCGTGGCGTCCGGCACTCGCTGTGCGTGGAAGTTGTAATGGCGCGACAACATGGGCCTGGTTTTGCTGCCATGCGTGCAGTGATTGCCTTCGTTGCCGGCCTCGCTGCTGGGCGTCCTGCCATCGCGTTCGGTTGCGCCGCTGATCTGCGAGGAAACTCGCCGGCGGTGGTCGGCGACGCTGTGCTCCCGAAGGTCCGCCTGGCACTGCAGCCTCGCATTCGGAATTGTTTCAGAGCGTAGAACGCAGTTGCAGCGCGTTTCGTTAGGAGCTAGGCGAGCGCGCGAGCTGCCGCACTTCGCGCGTGCGGACAGCGGTGCACTCATACATTGCAATGGCGATATAAGTCCTGGGCGTAATGATTATGAAGCAAGTGGGGCTGCCATGAAGATTAAAGACGTAGTGGATGGCGCCTGATCCAGAATCATCGAGCGTGTGAAGTTCTCCAAACTTGTTGCTGGATGCGATCAGGATCTGGCCGCGTTTCAGGAACTCGCAGACGCTGGCCCAGGCGTCGCGGAGGTCGGCCGCAGGAAGACGATTCCAAAGAGCCACTGGCAGGGCCTGGCACGGGCGGACTCCCAACAATCCATGGAGGAACGGAGGAGGATTCGAAAGCGGGCAGCATGGGGGCTTGGCGCGAAGAGCTCAATAAAACATGGAGCTACTGCATGCAGATTTCCTCGAACGCCATTGCGGCCCGGCGCTTTATGCTGTGCCGACGTGAATGATGCCGAGAGGCTGCGAACTGGTCTCTGCGTTGTGCAACGAGCAGGACAATTTGCCTGCTTAGCTTTGAAATCGGCAAGATGACGACTTGGGCTATAACGCGCAGCCGATGCAACGCTGGGTGCACGGCGTCAGCTGCACGTTAGATCCATAAATGCATTGTACGCATTGTGGAATTGCGCATTGCAGCGGGCCCGGTCAAAGTCGTATTTTCAGAGCAACAACATCGCCTATGTAATGCCACGCGGACATAGCCACTTTGCGCATATATGTTGCGACAGCGCCCGAACGTGCAGCGGTTGAAATGGAGGATGACTTTGGCGAAGACCGAGGTTGAGGCGTGTTCTCAAGTGCGTCCAAAACCTAGTTGCTGAATTGGGAATCTGGCGCGGCAGCGACTGCTTGCGCATGCGCTCGCGAGCAGAAGCTGCAAACGTTATGACATTCCGCTTGGTGCATTATCGACGTTCGTTGTGTGTGTGTGTGTGTGTGGGCTTCGCGGGCGTCGAGGCAGTCGACGTCGAGACCTTTCCTGGCGCGGCTCGAAGGGCCAGCCCAAGCTTTGGCTGGCGCTGTACTGGGTGTGCACAGCCAACGCCGACCTCTGGCAAGGTATCGCGGTACCAACGGCTGACCTCACCCGCTGGCTGGGCTGGCCGATAGAGGACCTCACCAGGAGGACCACGACTACTTGGACAAAAATGGTGTTGGCTATGGCAAGCATGAGGCAGCGTGCGCTGGACCACCGACACAAGAAACCACAGGCACCCACTTCCTCCGACAATAGTTTATAACCGTATTCAATGGTTATTATTTGGATCGCATGTGTCAACACTTGGATTATGTTGTACTTCAGTTCTTCTTTGGGCTGGTGTCTTCTATTCTCCAGGTACACAGTCTACATATATGTGGGAGTACATTACATATTTACGTAATTGCATGTGTTGCGTACCACAAGTGGGGACCGCCACACAACGGTCGCCGCAGCTCTGCGAGCTGCGTGGTGTCCTCATACGCCTACGGATTGGGGACACGGATTGGTTATTCCCCCTATGACGACTGAAGTTAGCCCGAACCCGGTCTCAGTCAGGCACGTTGATGATATCTTTCTAGCCTGAGCAACGAATCGCACCAACAAGCGAGTGCAGTGTGTGGGGGGGGAAATCGCATGTAAGTTAAGCAGGTGCGCGCGTGCTACTTGTGTTGTGCGCTACTCCAAGTTTAAAAACGGTGGCGTCGCAGCTGGCCAAGACGATCACGTCGAGAGGCTGCGGCCAATCCATCGCCTCGAGCAAACTGGAGCTGCGCCTGGGAAACATGCCGCGCAGATGGTGACATACATGTTTGCTAGTTTGCGGGGGGCATTGCCGCGCGTTGCGGTTGCGCATGTTGCTCTCGGGCATCGCCGTCTCGCTCCGACGAATTTGGGGGCCAACTCGCATTCAAGTTCGGAGGTGGGGCGCGGTGGCCAAACAATTCGCACCCTTTCCGAGAAGATCAGCATTCCCGGCCGTGACGCCGACGGACGAGGCATGTATCCACGGTGTTTTTGGGCGCCGACGTTTGGCGGGCGATGCCAGTGACTAGGAGCGAGCACGCGGCGCCCGCGCGGCAAACCTGCTACGGCGCGGCAGCGCGCTGCATGGCACTGACGTCGTCCACCTTGTGGGCGCGTATTGCAAAGTCGCATCGGGTGCAGGTGCGTCCGGTCAACTCAGCGGGGGCGCTGGCTGCGTTGCGCAACTATACGGTCCGTGGTCCGACGCATGTCACGCTGCGCGAGCTCGAGATGGGAGCCGCCGTGCCCCCCCAGAGGAACTTTACATCACATTCGAAAAGAGGTGGCCCATGTGTGGAAGTGCCCCTCGTCATCCATGCCGAGTCTGCGTTCATTTTTACATCTAGTAAGGGCCGGGAGAAGCCTGCTGAATGTGGTCTACTTGGACATATCAGTTGGATGTGGCAGATGATGGGGATAAGCTCTTACAGTGTGTTCAGTGATGTGATTCGCGTGGGACGACTGCAGACGGGCATGCAACGCTAGTATTGCTCGCGAGGGCAAGTGCAAGAAACGGCAGGGTATCAGTAAGTCAAGCATGACTTGAACAAGTATGTGCCGCACCGTGGTACAGGAAGCGCGTGGCGCTGAGCCTGGCCCACGCGGGGCCTGCGCGCCTGGCGACGCGCGCCCGGCAGCAGGCGCTAATGATCGAACTTGCTTGGTTTGCCTAGCGCGCGCTTTGCCTGTTTTGGATGGGTCGCCAATCGGCCGTCGCCTGTCCTAAGCGCGCCGCCGATATCGATATTTTCTTTCGGCCCCTGTTGCGCGCACTTGGCGACGAGCTTATGCGCCCGCGGTAGTGATCTACGCGGCGAGGTGCAGGAGGGGCGGCTGCCGGTCTGCCGACGGCTGCCGTCGGCGAGGAGTCGCTCTCGCGTGCCTCTTGCGTTGGTGAGTGGGTTGCGTGGCGCGCGCTGTGCTGATGCTGCGCGCGAGTGTAAGACAAGAAGGGCGCGATGCGCTGCGTTCCCCCGCCCTGCCCATTTGAAGGGAGATGTTTCGTTGGGTGAGTGAGCGGGTGCGAGGCGTGAGCGAGCTCGCCCGCGGCATCAGGATCTGACCAGTCAGTGCGGCTGCTATCTGAGTAGCGGGAGGGATACTTACTTGTTTTTACATCGCCACATCACGGCGAGCCTCAGCCCTGAGGCGCTCGTAGCACCTGTTCGATTCATTGGATGCCGAATGTGCCCGTTTTCCTCCTTACTGGTCTTGCTGGTGCCCACCCGGAGCAGGCCCCCCCGCCGCCTCCGAAGTGGGGCCGCGCATACATATCTTGGGTGCTGTTCGTCAGGGCGCCCCGGGTCTTGCCCTTCGCGCGCCGCGCGATGGCTTCCTGCGCCCGTCGAGAGTCTGCTGCGTTCAGGGTGCTGCGGGCTTCCCCCAGTTGCACCTCGCGCGCGCGGTGGTTTTCAGGGTGGAACTTGTTGTGAATAGTTCTTTCGGCCGCGTCTGCGCTATGGCGATGCCGCGACGCGCCCCTCGTCGCCGCGGTTGGGTTCACTTCGGACGCTGGTTAGTACGCACCCTAGGAAAGTTCCAGGGAGTCTTAGTATCGGCATAAATTTGGACCCCCCACGTCATCGACGCAAGAACACGGGGTTGTTTCCGCGGACGCTCGAGCGCAAGCTGCCCTCGTTTACAATGTAGCGTGCCGCGCTGGCGACCTGCGTGAGTCGCGGCGTAATGTATATCCGTGCGAAAAACCGTCTCCCTGGATGTCGTTATTCGGAGGTTTGATTCATCATGGGTGCTGGTATATCAGCCCATCGGGCATAATGGCACGACGTTCGGTTTAATCCCGCTGAGTTCGGCTTAGCTCCCCGTTTAATCCTGGCCGAGTTTGGTTCAATGGCTTTTCAATCGAGCTCACCATGCTTTTCACCACCCACCACACCACCCCAACCCAACCCGAAGGCTCAGATTTACCCTCGATTTCCAGTTGGGGGGGTATCGGGAAACATCGAAAAAACACGTGTGGAACCCTTACCCCCCCCCAGCCCGAAATTCGGGTCTTCGGGTTGGGTTGGGGTGGTCTGGTAGGTAGTCAGATTTACGTCCTAGATTTTTTGTTTTTTGTTGTTTTTTCTTTTTTTCCTGGGGGGCCGACGAGCAACCGGGTGGGCGGGCCCGCCCGCCCCCCCCCCTCCCCCTGGGATGACCTGAACCTGCTGGTCGCGCTTGTCCACAGGGGCTGGGCAGTGCTGGTGCGCGCGGGTATACTCAGGAGGGGAAGGAACACACAGGCACAATGAATCGTCGATCCCCACGAAAATAGGCGAAAATAGGGGACGTGGGGGGGGGAAAACAAAAACCCAGAAGATATGGGAGCATGTGGGGGATCTGGTTATTTGTGTGAATTTATTTATGTGCCCCAGGGCCCCATCGTATACGTGGGGTTGCCCCAAGCGAGAAAGTCAGGTTGTCGGCCGGCACTTCCTCCCCCCCCACACCGGATAATCCGTGTTGTCTCTTAGCCTTTTTTCTTTTGCCCCCGCAGGTGTTGGCTGGTCGAGGACTGTGGCTGCTTCGCCGACCTCGCGGGCTGCCTGGAGTCCGTCGGCTTGGGCTGCCGCTGCCTGGGCCCCGCGCGCGGGGCCAGACTCCTTCTGCCGCTGCCCGGTGGCGCCGAGGCTCGGTTGCAGTTCCTGGGAGGCTACGGTTGGCGGGTTGGCGTTGCCCAGATAGCCATACGGTGCCGCCGGCCCGCTTATTACGTGCCATCCCCCACTTTGGGTATCGCGTGCGCCAAGGAGGTCCTGGCATGGGGATCGCGTGCACCGAGGAGTTCTTCGCAGGGGGATAGCGTGCGCAGAAAGGGCCCTCGCGGGGGGGGCGCCTCACAGAGATAGCGTGTTTTCCGGAATCGATGTTGCACGCTATCTTGGCGACGCCAACCGGAAGTTCAGCAGTTCTGAAAAAAAAACGGCATACGCATAAAGTTTCGGAAGTCTGCACGGGCTTCTCGGATTGACGCTGGATTCCCCTCTCTGACGCGGAGCACGCCAAGGGCGGCGCCAGGCATTGATGCTGGTATGCAGCCAAAGTGCTAAGAGTATCGAAAATCCGTGGTCGAGGCCCAGATCTCTGACGAGATGTTTTTTCAATCCGTGCGTGTCTCATCGATTTCGGTCTCCAGGGGGTCCCGGAAGCACTAGAAACGGAACCGGGGCGAACACTTGGCCCTGTGGAAGGGGTCGGGGCCTCGGGGGCCGCGCGTTGCAAAATCACAGCGGCTCACGTCTGGGACTGGCGCTGGTACAGGCGAGACTGATTCGTAGGCCGACCCTGCCAAATCAAGGGTGCCCTTGAGTCCTGAGCTTTGCGACCCATGCCTTCTTACATTCCTGTGGCAATGTGGCCCTCGGAAGGGTCTTATGTCCTCTCGCGTGTCTTCTCCCATGAACCCCGACTGTAGATCCGCGGTCGAGGGCCGTCCTGCTCCGGCCGGACCCCGCTTTGCGCAGGTCCCACCCCACGCCGTCCGGGTCCCATGCGCGTCTCGTCTGGCTCAGCGGACCCCCATCGGGGGGCTTGAGGGTCGCATGTGCACTCTTCGGGGCCTCCCCGGCCCCGAGGCCCCACGCCTCAGGGCCCCATCCTCGAAGTGCCCCTGCTCGGGCCTCGCGTCGCAGCACTCTCGAGCCGATGCCCATCCTCACCGGGCCATGGCATCTCAGCCCCACCAGCCCGCCCTTCCAGGTGGGGCTAGGCCCCGCGAAACCCGTAGGACCGTTCACAGACTGGACGAGCCGGCCAGCGGGGCCAAGACCACGCCAGTGGGGGTAGGGATCGCTCAAACATGCTCACCAGCCTTAAGTCGGGCCTGTCTCTCTACAGGGGGAATATTTTAGAATAGTCAAACAATAGTCTGGGGACGATTTTTGGATTATTTTTTGACCACTTGGGGGTTATTTTGGAGTATTTTTTTTCGCCCCAAATCCCCTTGTAGGGGGACACGCCCGACTTACGACCAGCCCCGAGGCCTTCCATCGAAGGCCCCCCAGGAGCTGCCTCCCTGCCCGGCAGGGGGCGAGGCAGCGCGCCCCGCAGCCCGAGGTGCTGGGCAGGGCGCGCCTGGTGCGGGGCAGGGCGGCGGCGCGGCCCCGGCCGCGGCACCTGTACGCCCCGAGCCAGATCCAAGTGCTGCGGGCACTGGGGACTGAGGGAAGGGGGAGGAGGAGGAGGAGGAGGAGGAGGAGGAGGAGGAGGAGGAGGAGGAGGAGGAGGAGGAGGAGGAGGAGGAGGAGGAGGAGGAGGAGGAGGAGGAGGGGGAGGGGAGGGGGAGGGGGAGGGGGAGGGGGAGGGGGAGGGGGAGGGGGAGGGGGAGGGGGAGGGGGAGGGGGAGGGGGGGGGAGGGGGAGGGGGAGGGGGAGGGGGAGGGGGGAGGGGGGAGGGGGAGGGAGGAGGGAGGGGAGGAGGAGGAGGAGGAGGAGGAGGAGGAGGGAGGAGGAGGAGGAGGACGAGGAGGAGGACGAGGAGGAGGAGGAGGAGGAGGAGGAGGAGGGAAAGGTAAAGGTAAAGGCGCTTAGGGGGCGGGTTCCAGATCCCAAAAGGAAAATTGAACACTTAAATGCCCCTGCGAAGAATATGGATGCTGGGGGTCCGGCACTCGGCCTTGGACCTCCGCCAGCGGGTCCAGGCTGCGGCTTTGCCGCTTCCGCTGCCTGGAGCCGCGTCTGCAGGGAGAAACTCCTACTGCACCATCGGGATTCGAACGAGTTCGGGCCGAGGCGGGCCACATGCGCTGCCTATGGCGCACCTCGGCCCCCTATGAGGGGCACACTTGCTGGGGAAGACGCCGTCCCTCCCCCCCTCCCCCTCTCCCCCCCCCCGCCATCAGAGAGCGCAGAAACCGTGCCGTGAGACGAGCTCTTATGACGTTTCTGATCGGACGGGAGCGGGAACGAGACGCCAACGCTTTTTTTCTCAGGCCGAAGGCGCCAAACGCGCCACGGCAGCACAGGAGCCACAAACCGTATGGCGGCAGAGGCGTCAGCCTTGACATTTGTGTTATTGTAAACTTGTCGCCGCTTCTTTCAACAACGCCCATTTCTTCCCATGACTCCAAAGCCAAAGAATCTTCTTGAATTGAGCTCCAGGCCCCAAGAGTTGTTTGGATTTCTCTTGCAGTCAACTGTCCCTCCTCGGCTGTCTCCAATACCTTCAGAACCGCGTCGATCACTTTGCAATGGTGGTCAGGAACATTCAACACCTCAAACGCGTCCAATAAATCTTCAATTCTGTTGTCAATTGCTTTCTGCTGCGTCTGGGCCAGTCCACTCCGCGTTGTTAGCTGAATGGCATCCTTTTTGAGTGCGTGCAGTCTGGCCAAATCCTCTGCAATCGCAGCATGGCAAACTTCGTCCTTTATTTTTTCTATCGAAGTATAAATGCAATCTTTTTCGGAGGCCACACGTTTTTTTGTAAACTCAGTCGCGTTATTTTTAGCTGAAGAATCCAATCCGTCGGGGAAGCCGTCCAAGATCTTATGGAATTGCTCAATGCACCCCTTGCGGGAAAAATAATCTACCAACGCTTCGAAATAACTTGAATCGCATTGGTCTCCAGCTGTACTTTTGCTCGTTTCGTCTGCCACGTGACCACTTGCATTTGCAATCGAATCTTCTTCGCTATTGTCAACAATCACGCAGTATTTGCTTCCATGTTGTGTGAGTGCGCCGAGCAAAACAAAATCTGTGAGCGCCTATAACAACTGGGTTTCCATGCATGCAACGTTCAGCTTTGATTTGATATCATGCATTGACAATCCTTCCTTCGGGAAGCAGTGGGGGTCAAGAGCCAAGTCCCAAATCGCGTCGATTAGTTGCCCTATGCTCGGCGCCTCCCCTTGAGCCTCCTTTTGAACCACCTCCCTTGTGCCTGCATTCGGAGCGTTTCCAAGAGAACCATCTTCGAGCATCTCTTCCTCATCCCTTTTCTGTGTGTTGTGTATCTCATCATGATTGTCAACAACCTTTCCTTCTTGCTTCAGCTCCCGCTCTGCCTCCTGCTCCACACCGACCGTGGAGAAATGGGAATCTTCAGAATTCTCTGCAATTTCAGCGCGGGCTTCGGGCTGCCGTTCAAGACCAGGAGGGGGGCCAATCGGAACAACTGAACCAGCCATATCAACTGGGAACTTGGATGCTTGTGCTGCCTCTGAATCTTCACTTTCTGCAAACAAATGCGAGAGTAGATTTATTCGTACTGCTTGCACGTGTCGGGCATGTGTGCGTCGGATCCGCAACCGGCGCCTCCTACTCTGAGAAATCTTGCTCTCGCAGGTCGCAAACTCTGGGCGGCACGGCGAGAACATTCCCCATCATCATGTGTATGTGTGCCCCCCGCTCCCCCGAGGTCCGATGAGCAAAGAGCTGGACCCCAGGAGTGTCGCTAGAGGAAATTTCGATATCTTTCCTGCATGTCGCCCGCGCTTGCTGCAAGCCACACGCCGACTAGGAGGAGGAGGAGGAGCAGGAGGAGGAGGAGGAGGAGGAGGATGAGGAGGAGGAGGGAGGAGGAGGAGGAGGAGGAGGAGGAGGAGGAGGAGGAGGAGGAGGAGGAGGAGGAGGAGGAGCAGGAGAGGAGGAGGAGGAGGAGGAGGAAGGAGGAGGAGGAGGAGGAGGAGGAGGAGGAGGAGCAGGAGCAGGAGGAGCAGGAGCAGGAGGAGGAGCAGGAGCAGGAGCAGGAGCAGGAGCAGGGGCAGGAGCAGCAGCAGCAGCAGCAGCAGCAGCAGCAGTAGCAGCAGCAGCAGCAGCAGCAGCAGCAGGATAAACGAATCATGACATGAACATCCAAACTCGGATGTCCGCTCGGATTTCTCGGATCCGCGCGGGACCCCCCTGTACGTCCAGAACCAGATCCAAATGCTGCGGGCACCGAGGACTGATCATGCCCGAGATGGGTACGGAAAGAATGGGTACGATGTACAAAAGCAGTTCCTGCTCATGTTGAGCAGGACTCGCTGTCCGCGCAGCCGCGGCCTGTGTCCATTTGAGACAGAAGGCCGCCTGCCCAACAGCGGCCGCTGTGGGTTTGGGACAACATTTGTTGTTGGGCATTGTGCTCATTCTTTCCGTACCCATTTAAGTTTGGGCGTCCAAAATTGAGGGAAGGGGTTGAACGAATAATGACATAAACATACAAACTCGGGGGTCCGCGCGGATTTCTCGGATCCGCGCGGGACCCCCTTGGCGTCGCCTCCAGCGCCGCCCCTGGCGCGCTCCGCGCGCCAGGGGGAGGGGGGGTCCAGCGCCGATCCGAGAAGTCCGAGCGGACCTCCGAGTTTTTGTGTTCATGTCATTCTTCGCTCCCCCAGTGGCGCGATGACCAGGATCAACGCTAGGGAGGGAGCGACAGGCTCAGGGGGTTTGCATCGACCCCCCGTCGCCCATGGCTCGCCCAGGGTGCCCGATAGCCTTAAGGCGGGCTTGTCCCTCTGCAGGGGGGATATTCCAAAATAGTCAGAAAATAGCCTGGGGACGATTTTTTGATTATGTTTTGACCATTTGGGGGTATTTTTGGAGTATTTTTCGCTTTTCGCCCAAATCCCCCCTGCAGGGGGACAGGCCCGACCTGACGAGAGCCTGCCCCGCCTGGGGGGCGGCCGGGCTCGCCGTCGGAGGCCCGTCGCCGAGATTTGCTGGCGACGCAGCACCGCTTCCAGGTCGATGTTGACCCACCCTGAGCCAGTCCTCACCACCCACCAAACCACCCTAACCCAACCCGAAGGCTCAGATTTACCCTCGATTTCCAGGGGGGGGGGGGTCGGGAAACACCGACAAAAACACACGTGGAACCCTTACCCCCCCCAACCCGAAATTCGGGTCTTCGGGTTGGGTTGAGGTGGTCTGGTAGGTAGTCAAGTCCCCCCTCGCGTCGCCCCTCATGGCCATGGACGTCGGGGACTGCTTTTTAGGGTCTGGCGATAGCCCGGGTTATCGGGCTTGCCTCCCCCCCCCCCCTGAGGATAACCGGACCTTGCCGGTTGTGCAGGTCCGTGGGAGGGGGGGGGGGCTCGGGCATATGCAGGGCTGCCCACGGCGCGAGGGTTAGGTTATGGGCCGGCCCCCTCCTCTTCCCCCCCCCCCCCGGGACAACCCCGGGTCATCGCCGATTCCCCCCAAAATTGTCTCTTGATCAATGGAGAGGGAGCATGTTGCCACATAATTTCCAGATGTCTAAAACATGTGTGAAACATGTCTTAGACACGTAAAGACATATCGTAAACATTTCTAGACCATGCTTCAAACATTTTAGTGACATGATGAATTCAATGATAGAACGGTTACAGTGTCCATTGTCATGGCATCCACAACCCTCAGGACCATGATCAAGATGTTGCGATATGTTGCGGATTCTTTTTGACGACGCTCGGGGTCGTGGTCCATGCCGGCCGTCACCGATTCGCGAGGATGATTCACGGTTTGACGATGACCAAGATCGGCACTGACGTTTCCGCGTTCAGTCTTGGTCATGGCCACTGTTTTCTCTCCCTCCGGTGGATATCCGACACGCTCTCCAGTGCACATTTCGATCCGGTCGCATCCGATATCATGCCGGTTCTGGCCAGCTCGATTTGGTTCGGTTCCGATATCTTCACGATCCGACGCGGCCCGATGTGCGCATGACGCTGCCGTGCATCCTGGCGTTGCCGATACGATTCGCTTCGCATGTTCCGATTCGATGCAGACTGACCCTGCAGGGATCACAAGGGAAATGGGTCTTGGCCGTTTTTGGCTGCTGGGTGAATTCGCCAGGCCTGCCCCTGGACGAGGACCGAAGCTCGTGCAAAGTGCTCTGGGAGAAAGGAGGGCGAGGGCGCGGAAGGCGATCCTCCTCCTCCTCCTCCTCCTCCTCCTCCGACTACCTCTCCTACTCCTCCTCCTCCTCCTTCTCCAACTCTCCCTCCTCCTCCAACTCCTCCTCCTCCTCCTCCTTCTCCTTCTCCAACTCTCCCTCCTCCTCCAACTCCTCCTCCTCCTCCTCCTCCTCCTCCTCCTCCTCCAGAACATGGATCGGGATCGATCCAACTGCGCAGCGCGCCGCGCCATCGAGGCCGCGCGGATCGAAGGGGGGGGGAGGCCCCCGCTGGACCCCGGGTGGCTGGCAGCGACGAGCAGCGGGCTCCGGTGGGGAGGGGGGGGTGCCCACGCGGAGACACAGAGCCTGCCGCCGTGCTCTGTTGCCCCTCGTCCTCCTCCTCCTTTGTCCTCCTCCTCCTCCTTCGTCCTCCTCCTCCTCCCTCGCCCTCCTCCCTCCTCCCTCGTCCTCCTCCCTCCTCGTCCTCCTCCTCCTCCTCCTCCTCGTCCTCCTGTCCCTGGGGGACCTCCCTCGCCCTCCTCCTCTTGCGTTTCGATCCTCCTCCTCCCTCATCCTCTCCCCTCCTCCCTCCTTCCTTCAGGCCATCGCAAGCATGGCTCCAGGGGGCGTGGATCAGCGACGGGTGCCGTGGACTTCCGCCGCCGAGCGAGCCGGCACCGGCCTTCTTGAGGGGAGGGCGCCTCCCCCGATCCCTGGCTTGGGCGACCGCGCGCCAAATCCACGGATCGCTAATCCATGTTCGGGGGAGCGTAAGACCCGGGTTTGCCAGGACTCGGGTTCGCCATCGTTTTTTGACGACCGCGCCTCGGATTTTGACGAGGAGGAGTTTCGTGGGATGTCTGCAGCTTGAGGTCCCGTCAAAATGCAGGCTCGGCCTCGTCATTTTTTTGACGACCTCGTCGGGGATTTCCGAGTTCCCTGTACCCAGGTCTTACGTCCCCCTGACATGTTTGCGCGCCCCCGATTATTTCTTCCCGATCAAGACCCGCTCCGACGTCGGGTGTCGGACCCTTCCTGGGGTCTGCCACGGCCTGTCTTGGCCCCCCCCCGTCCCGTCCTCGCGTCACCATCTCCTCGTTGGCAGACGAAGCGGAGGAGGAGGAGGAGGAGGAGGATGGAGGAGGAGGATCAGCGAGCGAAGAACGGTATAACATAAACTTTTTCGCTGTCGGGGGCGCCTGTCCCAGGGCGGCTGGAAAGTTTATACCCCTACGGTGCCACCGTAAGGGTATAAACTTTCCAGCCGCCCTGGGACAGGCGCCCCCGACAGCGAAAAAGTTTATTTTATACCGTTCTTCGCTCGTTAAGAGGAGGAGAGGAGGATGCGGAGGATGAGGAGCACGAGGATGAAGAGGAGTAGAACGATCATGTGGACGACGCCGACGGTGGCAATTGCGATGACGATGACGATGGCGATGATTAGTCATGCTGATGATGTTGCTGCTGCTGACGTCGACTGCAACGACGACGACGAGGACGAGGATGAGGAGGATGGTGGTGGTGGTGGTGGTTATGATGATGATGATGATGATGATGATGATGATGATGATGATGATGATGATGAGGATGAGGATGAGAAGGATGATGATGATGATGATGCAGATGGTGGTGATGATGCTGATTCTGATTATGCTATATTGTGATGATCATGGTGGTGGTGATGATCTATGGTGATGATTGTGGTATGGAACTGTCGATGATATGGTCATGCTGGCGTGACTGTGATTACGGTGTCAGCATAACCATGATGCCGATTATGGTTGGGTTTGTCCGTATTATGGTGATGGTGACGATGAGAACCGCGCGTCGGCGCTGGTGATGACGACGATCATGCTGATTTTGTGGTGATTGTGGTGGCTGTTAATGAGGATGATAGTGATGGTAGTGGTGGTGATGTTATTGACGATGATGGTGATGGTAGTGGTGGTCATGATGCTGATGCTGATGATGATGACGAAGATGATACTGATGCTGATGATGCTGATGACGATGATGCTGCTGATGATGCTGCAGCTGACAATTATGATCATGATACCGATGCTGATGCTGATGATGATGCTGATGATGATGGTGATGATGATGTTGCTGCTGCTGATGCTGATGGTAGTGGTGGTGGTGATGGTGGCGATGATGATGCTGCTGCCGATGATGGCGACGGTGATGATGACGATTCTGATGATGCTGATGATGATGATGATGATGATGATGATGATGATGATGATGATGCGGCTGCTTCTGATGATGATGACGCTGATGCTGATAATAATGATGATGATGCTGATCATGTTGTTGATGCTGATGCTGATGCTGATGATGATGGTGATGCTGATGGTGCTGCTGCTGATGATGATGATGCTGCTGCTGATGATGATGATGATGCTGATTCCGAACCTGATGATTGTTTTGATGATGCTGCTGATGATGATGATGATGATGATGATGCTGATGATACTGATGCTGACGATGATGGTTATGCTGATGCTGCTGATGATGACTGATAACGAGGAGGATGATTATCATGATCATTCTTCTATTGATGCTGCTGCTGATGATGATGATGATGATGATGATGATGAGGAGGAGGAGGAGGATGATGATGATGGTGCTGGTGATGCTGATGAGTATAGAATGTAATTGTGATGACCATGGTGACGGGAGAGCAGGGACGGACCGTCATCCCTTCGCGCCGCCCCCTCTCGGCCCCTTCCCCCCCCGCCGGGCAGCCTGGCCTCGGCCTCGTGGGGGTGGTTTCCCCCCCCTCCCCCCCTCTCGGCAGGCGGGCCGGGTGGTCTACTGCAGCAACTCGCGCAAGGCTGTGAGGCGTCCTCGGCCGCGAGGATGAGGATGAGGAGGAGTCCACATGCGAACCCTACCCCTACCCCCCACGATTTTTGAGGGGGAGGGTGGGGTTCACTTCGCTCGTGACCTCCCGAACGAAGTGAACCCCACCCTCCCCCTCAGAAATCGTGGGGGGTAGGGGTAGGGTTCGCACGTGGCCCCCTAATGAGGAGGAGTAGGAGCAGGACGACGATTTGGCCCTGAATCAAGGTGCGCCGATCTGCCGAGAGCGGGCCACTCAGGCCATGCCAACAGTGAGGTGGCAGCTGCGCCGTTCGGGGCGCCGCTGGGGTGAAGCGTTGAACTCACTCCGATGACCACGTGCGAGGAGGATGACGACGTGGAGGTCGTGGTGGTGGTGGAGAAGGAGAAGGACGAGGAACGATAGTGGTGGTGCTGGTGATGAGGATGACGATGATAGTGGTGATGCTGATGCTGCTGCTGGTGATGATGACGATTCTGATGATGCTGATGGTGCTGCTGCTGCTGATGATGGTGAGGATGCTGACGCTGCTGATGATGACGATGATGATAATGATGATAATGATGACGATGCTGATGACGATGCTGCTGATGATGATGGAGATGATGATGGTGATGTTGATGCTGATACTGATCATGACGATGATGATGCTACGGATGAGGATGCTAATGATGATGATGATGCTGATGCTGCTGCTAATGCTGCTGATGATGAGGAGGAGGAGGACGTGGGGAAGAAGGCGGGTCAATGTAAACCCCAAATGCGTCAACAACGCTCCAACACACCGTTCCTCGCCCTCGTCCTCCCCTTCGTCATTGCCCTCGTATTCCTCGTCCTCCTCGTCGTCGTCCTCGTCCTCGTCCTCGGCCTCCTCCCTCCCGTCTCGACTCCCGTGCTTACACGTCCCTGCCAGCGCCCCCCTTTCACTGCCAGGAAAGCGCGCCTCTTTGAGAAAGGCCAGCGCAGCTGGGCCTGCCCTTTTGGCGAGGGCACCGCTCTGAACAATCCATGCCTGGCATCCTTCTGGAGCATGAGCAGGATCGCGGACCAGGGCCGGACCTAAACGCTGTCTGGCTGGACTTTGGCTGTGTTTTGTTTTTGCCGCTGTGGCAGGGAGGTGCAGGAAACCAGGTATAGCAAAACGAACAGCAAAACGAACACACAGCGAAACGAAACCTTTAAGTCCAGCCCTGGCGCGAACCACCAGGAACTATGGGAGCATACGTGTCAACGACGTGTCCAGCGAGATCCTCCTTTCGGAGAGGGGCCGCGCCCATCCGTGCAGTTATTGCACAGTGATGTTTATCTCTGTGGCCAAGAGCAGCGATGACGCCTCAAACGATACTCCAGATTTCGTAATAAAGGGAGGGGGGTCTCATTTCGGGGGGGGTCTCTTCGGGCTATCTTGGAGGGCCTAGGGGGTCTCGGGACGATGTTTTGGAGGGTCCTCCCACGGGGGAGGTCTGAAATGGCTTGTCTTGGAGGGTCCAGACCCCCTCCCTTGTATTACGAAACCTGGAGTACCACCAGAGCGAACAAGATCCGCCCCCCCCCAGTAGCAGAACCGAAGCTCGAGGCAGGACCCAAGTTTGAAACAGCGCAGCCCTCCTCCGAGCGTGAATTACCTACCCCGCTTTCGCTTCCAGGCAAAACCAGGCCATACCACGCGCCTCCTCGTCAAGCGGCCAGACCAGTACAGGCCGTAGTTTGGCACCATTTGGTATCTAGTGGAAGCGAGGGTGGTCAAAAGCGAGGTAGGTCTGGTTTCCCCTCACTAGTAGCAGCACCGGAGCTCGAGGCAGGACCCCATTCTGAAACAGCGCAGCCCTCCATCCTTCTCGGTGGCCAGGCGCCGCATGCCTGGGCGGGGCGCCGAGGCGAGAGAGAGAGTCCGAATTCGGCACCGGCCAGTGCTCCACGCTTGCACGCATGCAGACTCTCCGACGGGTGTGCTTGGCGCTCTGGCGAGGGCGCACTGCTTCGAGCATGGACCGGCTGAGGGGTCCGCATGTGAGCCCTGCCCCTAAGCCCCCCACGATTTTTCCGAGGGGGAGGGTGGGTAACACGACGCGAAGATCGGGACAACATCGGATCGGGATAACTCGAAGTCTCAGAGAATCGGCGGGTTTGGAGGATGTATTGGGCGCCGCGGCCGCTTCAGAGCGTTCCGGAACGCTCTGGGAGCGCTCCGGAACGCTCTGGAGCGACTTATCCCGATCCTAGCCCTGTTTTAGTACTGTTTCGAGCGCATGGACCGGCTATTAGAGGTCCACATGTGAGCCCCACCCCTACCCCCCACGATTTTTCTGAGGGGGGAGGGGTGGGGTTCACACTTCGCTCGGGAGCTCCCGAGCAGAGGGAGCCCCTCCCTCCCCCTCCGAAGTCGTGGGGGGCTTAGGGGCAGGGCTCACCCGATCGAAGTGAGCCCCTCCCTCCCCCTCCGAACTCGTGGGGGGCTTAGGGGCAGGGCTCACCCGAGCGGAGTGAGCCCCTCCCTCCCCCTCCGAAATCGTGGGGGGCAGGGGCTAGGATCGGGATAAGTCGCTCCAGAGCGTTCCGGAGCGCTCCCAGAGCGTTCCGGAACGCTCTGGAGCGGCCGCGGCGCCCAATACATCCTCCAAACCCGCCGATTCTCTGAGACTTCGAGTTATCCCGATCCGATGTTGTCCCGATCTTCGCGTCGTGTTACCCACCCTCCCCCTCGGAAAAATCGTGGGGGGCTTAGGGGCAGGGCTCACATGCGGACCCCTCAGCCGGTCCATGCTCGAAGCAGTGCGCCCTCGCCAGAGCGCCAAGCACACCCGTCGGAGAGTCTGCATGCGTGCAAGCGTGGAGCACTGGCCGGTGCCGAATTCGGACTCTCTCTCTCGCCTCGGCGCCCCGCCCAGGCATGCGGCGCCTGGCCACCGAGAAGGATGGAGGGCTGCGCGTGGCCCCCCTGCGGCTGCCCGGGCCTCCTCAGAAGCGCCCGTGCGCGGCGCCCGGGGGGGCGAGGGCCGCAGCCGCCTGAAAGGGGCGCCGCCGTCCGTGAGCGCGTCGTGGGTGCACATCTGCAGGAGGGAACGAAACACACAGGCACAATCAAGGATTGCAAAAAAACAAAGGATTGCAACAAAAACGAAGGATCGGGGGTGGACAGAACCCCCAATAGTGACACGTCGATTAGTGAATTGTCCGTTTTCGGTTTTCGAGAGGGCGCCGTGGCCGTTATTTTCCAGGCTTGCGCCCGCCAGGTTTGGGCCCGAAGTCGTTTTCACTAAACCACGTTTTACTAGAGGGAGGTCTGTCCATCCCCGAAAGGATTGCAAGCAACGAAGGGTTTTTTTTGCAATCCTTGGTTTTTTTCGCAATCCTATCTTCCGGAGGGACAAAAACACACAGACACAATTAATCGTCGAGCCCCCAGAAAATATAATGGGAAAATATAGGAAAATTGGGCGGGGAGACAAAAGAGCCCGGAACCAATATGGGAAACTAGGGGGAATCCTTCTATTAGTGCGTATCTATCTGGGTGTCCTGGGGCCCCCTTCACACCTGTAGGACGGCGGGTGTGCCCGGCGCCTCGGCCGGAGCGGTGCCTCGAGACAGAGCCGCCTGCCAGCGGCGAGGGTGCGCGGCGCGCGGGCGAGGGCCTCCTCTTTGAGGAGGGCGCCGCTCTCCATCCTGGGAGCGCTTGCAGCATTTTCAGGCGGCCGTGCGCGGCGCCGGAGCGGGAGCCACAGGTTGGCAAGGACCAGGAGGGAAATAAACACACAGACAGAATTCATCGTCGATCCCCGAGAAAATATGGGAAAATATGGGAAGTGGTGGGGAAGACGAAAACCCAGAGAATATGGGAGAATATGGGGAATCTTTTTATTTGTGTGGATTTTGTTTGTGTGTCCTGGGGCCCCTTCAAAGGAACCGCCGGCCGTCCTTCTTTTGGATGGCGGCGCATCTGCGCGGCGCTGTGGCGAGAGCCTCATTCTGAGAGCGACCTGTGCTCAGCAGAAGGAGCGTGCCAAACTCTGCGAAGAGTGGTGCTCAAAGCTTTTGGGGAGGGCCGCTCTTAGGACACGACCTGTGCTCCGCCCTTGGTGCAGTCGCATGTTTCAATCTTCAGTCGTATGCACGGCGAGGAAGTCAGGCGAACTGCCGGGCCCGCCCTACCGTCACGCCTGTGCGTGCGACAGGGAGGAGTTGCTCACAAAGAAGAGGGATGGCATCAGGGCTTCCTGGCGTCGGAAGTTTGCGGCGCCCTCATCCTCATTCCTTTTCCTCTTTCTCCTCCTCCTTCTCCTCCTTCTCATCCTTCTCTTCCTTATCCCCCTTCATCCTTCTGCTCCAATGATCCTTGTCCTCCTCCTCCTCCTCCTCATTCTCCTTCTCCCCCTCATTCTCCTTCTTCTCCTCCTCCATCTCCTCTTCCGACCTCGGCGCTTTCAAACCTGCACCAGCGTGAAGGTAAATCTACTTGCGCTGCCGCGCGAAACCGCCGCCGCGCTGCGAGGGGGGCCGCCCTGGGGGTTTCGGGCCCGGTGGGGGTCAGGGGGGGGAAGGGGCGCGGGGCCTGCCACAGATCCCGGTACCAGCCGTCCTGACTGTGATGCATCGCTCTCTGTGTGGGAGAAACGCGCAGCAGCGTGGTTACAACATGAGCGCGTGTCGGGCTCGCGTCGTCGGGGGCCGACTTCATGGTTTGCAAGAAACGCAACCAACATAACACACAATGGCCCGACACACACACACACATGTTCTCACACACCAACCTCCTCCTTCGATACCCTCAGACATGAGCAGCTTGGACCACTACTACGGCGTCTTTGTAGCTATTGCCCCTGCGCCAGACGTTGGCAGTAGATAGTCTGGGTTTGATTGGATAACAGCCCAGGCATGGCAGACAGCTGCGAGCGTATGCAGGAGCGCGTATACATGTTTCATTCAACGGCAGTCCGATCTTGCCTGGACAGTATGGTGCCAACACGTTATGCTGCCAACATCATTCGTCGGTATTGCAGCCTCTCGACAGATGGCCTGAGGACGCGACGCTCTTTCCGTCCGCTTTTCCAGCGAATTGTTTCCCAGAGCACGTTGCCGCGATCAGGGGGGTCGTCCGAGAAGCGCCCCGCATCTCACTAGCCATATATAACTAGTTGTGTGAGCACGTCGCACGTTTAGACGCGTGATCAGCGCAGCACTTATTCGTTCGCAATGAGAGCGCCAAGCGGATGCAAAGCCATGCCTCTGCTATGGTGTTCGGCCAACGTTCGCTGGGGGGAGACGGTCGTTTGTTTCAAACCGCTGGAGCTGCAACAAGGTCCTGTTTCTCTGCGTTGCTTTTTGGCTCGCACTGGCGTCGACCCACATCCAACGGCGGAGCAAAAGGCCTGACGACATAAGCTACGACAGGTTGGCCCAGCGAGTCCACGACTGGATTCCTGACGGGCTAAGATCCTGCGGACACCCTCTATCGAGAGGGGAGATGCTCTGACCGTCTGACCACTTCCCGCTGAGCCCGTAGCCGCGCGCGCGGCACATACTCAGCGCCCGTTCCGTTCCGTTTCGTTCGCACCAGTGACGTTTTGACGGGATGTGTCGGACAACACCTTTGGCCTGACGCGACCCACGGCCGAGCGAGCGTGCGTCTTGTTGTGGAGGAGACGCCGTTCAAGTCTGTCATCGTCCTGCCCCGTGGAGGGGAGTGAGGCAGGGAGGGAGGGAGGGAGGGAGGCAGAAGGAGGGAAGAAGGAGGAGGAGGAGGATGAATAGCGGGCGCAGGCGCATGCGGAGGATGCGGATGAGAATGAGGATGAGGACGACGACGACGATGGTGATGTTGTTGGTGACGCAGATGATGCTGATGATGACGATGCTGACGAACCTGATGATGGTGATGGTAATGGTGATGGTGATGGTGATGATGATGCTGCTGCTGATGATGATGGTGGTGGTGGTGGTGGTAGTGAGTGTGGCGGTGATTGTGACGATGGTCATGCTGAGGAGGAGGAGGGGGATGATGATCATGCTGATGCTGATTCTGATGATAATGCTGATCAGTATGATGATGATGCTGATGATGATGATGAGGATGAGGATGAGGATGATGATGATGATGATGATGATGATGATGTTGATGACGATGATGACGAGGCTGATGAGGAACATGATGATAATGGCGGTGATCATAAACATGCTGATGCTCATGATGATGACGATCATGCTAACCATGATGATGCTGATGATGCTGATGATGCTGATGCTGCTGACGCGGATGAGGATGACGATGATAATCAGGATGATAATGCTGCTGATGTCGATGCTGATGGTGCTGATGATGTTCATGATGATGGTGATGCTGATGTTGAGAAGGATGAGGAGGATGCTGATGATGCCGATGAGGATGGTGATGATGCTGATGATGAGGATGACGACGAGGAGGAGGAGGGTGCTGGGTGCTGCTATTGATGATGACGACGATGGTGGTGATGGTGATGGTGATGGTGATGGCGATGGCGATGATGACGATGATGCTGATGATGATGATGATGATGATGAGGATGATGATGATGATGGTGGTGGTTGTGGTGCTGGTGATGATCATGATGATGACGATGATGATGATGATGATGATGATGATGATGATGATGCTGATGGTGATGATGATGATGATGGTGATGATGGTGACGGTAGTGGTGGTGATGGTGAGGATCATGAGGATGAGGGTGACGATCATCATCAGGATGATGATGATGCGGTGGATGATGATGATGATGATGATGATTATGATGATGATGCTGATGATTGATGAGGATGAAGACGAGGTGGAGGATCAGGATGAGGATACGGATGATGATAATGGTGACGATGATGATGCTGCTGATGATGATGACGATGCTGATGATGTTGATGGTGGTGGTGATGATGGTGATGAGGATTATGATGTTGCCGATGATGATGCTGCTGATGATGATGATGATGATGTCGCTGATGATTATGACGATGATGATGGTGCTGCTGATGATGACGATGATGAGGAGGAGGATCATGCTGATGATGATGATGATGATGATGATGATGATGATAATGATGATGATGCTGACGATGATGATGATGATGGTTGTGGTGGTGGGGGTTGTGATGATGAGGAGGAGGAGGTGGAGGAGGAAGATGATACTGATGATGATGATGCTGATGAGGCTGCTGCGGATGATGAAGATGATGCTGATGATGATGATGAGGAGGAGGAGGATACTGCTGCTGCTGATGATGATCAGGATGATGATGATGATGATGATGATGATGATGATGATGATGATGATGATGATGATGATGATGATGATGATGATGATGATGATGATGATGATGATGATGATGATGATCAGGATGATGATGATGATGGTGATGATGATGATGATGATGACGAGGAGGAGGAGGAGGAGGAGGAGGAGGAGGATGCTGCTGCTGCAGCTGATGATGCAGAAGAGGAAGAAGGGGAAGGAGGAGGAGGGGGAGGAGTAGGAGGGGAAGGTTGCACGTGGTGTCGGCGCGATGCCCTCCCCCCCTGCGTGCGCGGAGGCGCTGGATCCGTCGCAACCTGAGCGACAGCGTCGGGGGCCCGCGGGAGCGATCCCCGCGCGAATGGCGACCGCGAGGGCCCCTACAGTCAACCCGCAGAGTAAGGATGCGCGATACGGATGCGAGGGCCTTGGACGCCCACTTCGAAGCGTTCCGAGCGGGGCGCGGCCAACGAAAGTGTCCAAGGATGGACCCAGGAGGCAAGGATGCAAGGGTACCCTTGGGAGGGAGACCTATCCTTCCTCTGCGGGTCGACTGTATTCTGCCTCACGGGCTCCGCCTGGTGTTTCGGGTGTTTTTTTCTTTCTCGGCACGTCTGGTCTTTCCGAGGAGGAAGAGATACCGGCACTCACGTTTTTTTTTTGTTTTTCTTTTTTTTATTTTTTGTTCCCGATCTCTAGATACTGTTTTTCTCCGGATCAAGGCGAAAAGCACGGTGGTTGCGACGCACGCCATTCGAGGCAGCTCACGGTCCAGAATGCTTTACGGTTCGGGTGCATGTTGCGTTGATGTCTGCCCTCAGCATGCATTGCTGTCTAAATATCGCTTACTACTTGCCTGCTTTGCAGACCTGGCGAGCCACCCTCAGCTGCGCCAGCGCTACGAAACTGATCTTTTAGATTCAAGGCTGGCCGTCCAGAAGAGCGGGGGAGCCGGGAGGATTCCCCTGTGGGGCCTGTTCGGACGCCCCCCTGTCGAGAATGGGCGCTTTCCATAGTATATCCCTGAGATCACCGAGCGGCGTTCCACTACTCGCAAAGTGCCTACTCGCAAACGCCCGAGCAGCACATGTCTGCTTCCATGTAATTCATCCTAGATCCCGTGCGGCGGATCCGGGCCCTTTGCGAGTCGCTTCTTTGCGAGTCGTGGAACGCGCTCGTCTACGAGTCAGCGAGCGAACAACGGTATAAGATAAACTTCTTCGCTGTCGCGGTCGCTTGTCCCTGGGCGGCTGGAAAGTTTACACCCCTCCGGTGCCACCGCAAGGGTATAAACTTTCCTGCCGCCCCGGGACAGGTGTCCCCGACGGCGGAGCAGTTTATTTTACACCGCTCTTCGCCCGTTGAATGAGAGCTGGCCTCGGGCGACAGGCCCCCGAGGGCGAATCCACGCGCGACGCCCTCGCCTCCCCGCGCCGGGGCCCTGCCCTTTCGCGGGCGCCCGGCACGGCGCCGACGTCGCGGTGCTCGACGGCCTGCCCTCGGAGCTCGCGCCGGGCGCCGCCGGCCCGGGGGACGCCGCGCGGGCGGCAGGCGGCGCACGTCGTCGCCGTCGTCGTCGTCGTCGTCGTACGTCGTCGTCGTCGTCGTCGTCGTCGTCGTCGTCGTCGTCGTCGTCGTCGTCGTCGTCGACTTCGTCGACGTCGGTGTCGACGTCGGAGTCGGCGTCGGTGTCGGCGTCGTCAGCAGCGTCGCCAGCGGCGTCGGCGGCGGCGTCGGCGTCAGCGGCGTCGTCGTCGTTGGCGTCGTCGTCAGCGGCGTCGGCGTCGGCCTCGGCCGCGGCCTCGGCCCTTTCGTCGTCGAGGCGTCGGGCCTCGTCGCGCGTCGTCTGCGCGTCGTCGCACGTCGTCGCCAGGGGGAGGATGGGGATCCGGGGTAGGGAATGTTTTTTTTTTTTTTCGGAAGTTAAGCTGTGTTTGTGCGTGTGTGTGTAATTGTTGTCGTTGTTGTTGTTGCAGTTGTTGTTGTCGTTGTTGTTGTTGCTGTTGTTGTTGTTGTTGTTGCTGTTGCTGTTGTTGTTGTTGTTGTTGTTGTTTTTGTTGTTGTTGTTGTTGTATTTGTTGTTATTATTGTAGCTGTTGTTGATGCTGTTTTTGTTGTTGTTCTTGTTGTTGTTGTCGTTATCGTTTCTCTTGAGTTGTTCCCTACCTAGGCTCTGCCTAGAAGGGTTCTTACTCTCTGAGCTTAAAGGGGCCGGGCAGTGCTAAGCGCCCCGGGCGGTTCCCCCAGTCCCCTGGGAGCGGTTCCCCCACAGTCCCCTGGGAGCTTTAGCTTTAGCTTTAGCTTTAGCTTTAGCTTAGCTTTAGCTTAGCTTTAGCTTAGCGGCTCGCTTAGTTTTAGCTTAGCGGCTCGCTTAGTTTTTCGCTTAGCTTTAGCTTAGCTTTAGCTTAGCTTTAGCTTAGCTTGAGCTTAGCTGTAGCTTAGCTTTAGCTTAGCTTCAGCTTAGCTTTAGCTTGGCTTTAGCTTAGCTTTAGCTTAGCTTTAGCTTAGCTGTAGCTTAGCTTTAGCTTAGCTGTTGCGCAGCTTTAGCTTAGCTTTAGCTTAGCTTTAGCTTAGCTTTAGCTTAGCTTTAGCTTAGCTTTAGCTTAGCTTTAGCTTAGCTTCAGCTTAGCTTTAGCTTAGCTTTAGCTTAGCGTTACTGTTACTACTAATGCTGCTTTCCTAGGGGTTCCAACTCCTAGGTAGGGTCGCACTGGGATAATTTCTGTCTTTTTTGTTTTGTGTGTGTGTGTGTTGTTGTTGTTGTTGAGGTTGATGTTGTTCTTGTCGTCGTTGTCGTTGTCGTTGTCGTTTTCGTTGTCGTTGCAGTTGTCGTTGTCGTTGTTGTTGTCGTCGTCGTTGTTGTTGTGGTTGTTGTTGTTGTTGTAGAATATGCATTTCGAAAGAATAAGTGTTGTTGATCCCCCCTGCTTGGTCACCATTGCATTTTCCCATCCAAGTGCTATCCCGGGGCTCGCACCCGGTTTTTTACAAGGGGTAGCGTGGCGTCACTAAATTGGGTTGTTGGGCCCCGAACTACAACAACAACGGCTCCCGCCTGATATTCCCTCACAATGTATTCCCAGATCGCGCTCTCGCGCGGGACGTCTTCACACATTATGCAGGAATCGCGCTGTCGCGTGGGACTTCCTCGCATTTTATTTAGACGCCGCGCCTTCGAGGCTCAGGAATCACGCTCTCGCTTTTGCCTTTCTCGCGATTTACTTGGGAATGGCGCTATCGCTCGAGGCTTCCTCGCAATTCATGCGATACTCACGCTTCAGCAACCCGCCTGCTCGACCTGGCCGCTCGGGCCCGCCTTCCCAACCCGCCCGTTAAGGTCTAACCCGCCCAATGGGCCCGTTTGGTTCTGCCACGTGCTTCCTGCTCCTAGCCCCCCTCCTGCTAATCCAGTGCTCCATCCTTCTCCCTTTCTCTTCCATCCGTCCTTTCTTCCCTTGTGTCAGGGGCTGCACCAATTACGCGTGGTAGGTAACGCAGATACCCCCCCCCAGGTGGGTACGATCGAAAACGAAGAGGGAGGGCATCGAGGGTTTAGCATATACGTGTTGAATGGAACGCGAGCAGGTAAGAGCGAGCAATCTAAAACTGATGCTTGTTGGTGTCGTTGCTGCTGTTGTTGACGTTGCTGCTGCTGTTGCTGCGGTTGTTGTTGTTGCTGCTGTTTTTGTTGTTGCTGTTGCTGTTGCTGTTGCTAATGTTGTGGTTGAATTATCATTTCTGAATATTAATTGTTGTTGATCCCCCCTCGCCGGTGCATACTGTTTTTTTCGCAATCAAAGTGTGCCCCTCGACGCTCGCACATTGTTTTTTGACAGGGAAGTCTTGGTGCTCAAACTGGGCCCGTGGCCCCCCGGATCACAACAACAACGGCTCCCGATGGAGATTTCTTCTAAATTTACTCAGGACCCCAACTCCTGAGACTTCCTCACAATTTATTCAGGATTGGTGCTCCCGCTTGTGACTCCCTCGCAATTTAGTCAGGACCCCCGCTCCCGTCTGAGACTTCCTCGCAATTTACTCAGGAACGGCGCTCCCGCTTGAGGCTACATCGCAATTGAATCAAGACTTCCTCGCAATTTAATCATGACCCCCGCTTCCGCCAGAGAACCCTTCACATGTTATTCAGAAATCGCGCTTTGGACGCTCAGGAAACACGCTGCGCCAATGACGCCGTTACAATTTACTTAGTAGTCGCGCTCTCGCTATACTCAGGCATCCCGCTTGAGTGTCCCATCCGCCAGAGCCGCCCGTCAGGGGATCTCCCGCCCGTCGTGGGCTCCCGCCCGAGACTTCCTTCAGGAACGGCGCTTTCGCCTAGGACTTCCTCGAACGTTCACGCTCTTACCTTCCTGCTCCTCTTCCCTCTCCCTCCTCCCTCCCTCCTGTCCTCCCTTCTCTCTCCCTTCTCTCTTCCCTCATTCTTATGCCTCTCTGCCCTATCCCCTCGCCCTCCTCTCCCTCCTCCCTTCTCCCTCCCCTCTCCTGCCTCCTCCCTCACCCTTTCGTTCTCTCTCTCTCTCTCTCCCCCCTCTCTCTCTCTTTTTCTACCTCTGTTATCAGTTGTTTTTTTTCTCTCTCTCTCTCTCTCTGCCTCTAATCAACCGCCCCCCTGTTCGCTCCTTCTCTTCTGGCGTTTTCCCTCTTCCTTCGTCCCTACCCCTCCCTTCCTCCCATTCTCCCTCCTTCTCCTCCTCCTCCTCTTTTTGCGGGGCCCACATCAATTCCAATGGCGGGCACGTGTACGCCCACGAAGGATTGTCCGCCCGTTCAGGCTTGCCCGCCTGTCTAAGCCCGCCGCCCCCCGCACAGAGAAATAATCCAGCAAAATGGGTGTGATCGACTACACAAAGGGCGGGTATCGAGGGTGTGGATGGAACTCGTCTTGAATGACACGCGGGCAAGTAAGAGCGAACGGTCGTATACTGATTGTTGTTGTTGATGGTGTTGTTGTTGATGATATTGATGTTGTTGTTGTTGTTGTTGTTGTTGTTGTTGTTGTTGTTGGTGTTGTTGTTGTTGTTGCTGTTGTTGTTGTTGTTGTTGTTGTAATTGTAGTTGGTTGGTGGTTGGTTAGTAGTAGTAACTTAGTAGTAGTAGCAGTAGCAGTAGTAGTAGTAGTAGTAGTAGTAGTAGTAGTAGTAGTAGTAGTAGTAGTAGTAGTAGTAGTAGTTACAGTAGTAGTAGTTGTAGTCGTATCCGTAGTAGTAGTAGTCGTCGTAGTAGTAGTAGTAGTAGTAGTAGTAGTAGTAGTAGTAGTAGTAGTATCAGTAGTAATAGTTGTAGCAGTAGTAGTAGTAGTAGTAGTAGTAGTAGTAGTAGTAGTAGTAGTAGTAGTAGTAGTAGTAGTAGTAGTAGTAGTAGTAGTAGTAGTAGTAGTAGTAGTAGTAGTAGTAGTAGTAGTAGTAGTCGTAGTAGTGGTAGTAGTAGTAGTAGTAGTAGTAGTAGTAGTAGTAGTGGTAGTAGTAGTAGTATCAGTAGTAATAGTTGTAGTAGCAGTAGTAGTAGTAGTCGTCGTAGTAGTAGTAGTAGTAGTAGAAGAAGTAGTAGTAGTAGTAGTAGTAGTAGTGGTTGTTGTGGTTGTTGCTGATGCTGTTGTTGTTGTTGTTGTTGGTGGTGGTGGTGTTGTGGTTGCTGTCTTTTTTTGTTGTATTCATCATTCCCAACGAATAGCTATGTTTGGCTCCCCTTCCGGTAGCCATTGTTTTTTCAATTAGAGTGCTTCACCGGGGATTCGCATTTCGTTTTTGTACAGGTACAGTGAGGGAACACCAACTCTGGCCCCTGGCCCCCGGTTTACAACAACAGCAACAACAACAACCAAGGCTCCAGCCTGATATTTCCTCATCATGTATTCCCAAATCGGACTCTCGCGCGGGACGTCCTCACACTTTATACAGGGATCGTGCTCCCGCGTGGGACTTCCCCGCATTTTATTCAGACGCCGCGCCCTCGACACTTAAGAATCATGCTCTCGCTATGGATTTCCTCACGATGTATTGGATAATCGCGCTATCGCCCGAGACTTCCTCGCGATTCATGCAGGAAGCACGCTTCAGCAACCCGCCTGCCTCTGGCCCCTTCCTTCCCTCCGTCCTCTTTTACCTTGTGTTTATGGCCGCACGAAGTACACGTTGCAAGTCAGACAGATATACCTCTAAGGAGGTTGCGGTCGAATACTAACAGGGCGGGTCTCGAGGGTACGTGATATACGTGTTGATTGGGCATGATTGTCGCTGCTGTTGTTGTTTTAGCTGTTGCTGTTGATGCTGTTGTTGTTGGTGTTGTTTTGCTGTTGTTGTTGCTGTTGCTGTTGCTGTTGCTGTTGCTGTTGTTGGTGGTGTGGTTGTTTTGGTTTTGGTTTTGGTTTTGGTTGTGGTTGTGGTTGTTGTTGTGGTCGTTGTGGTTGTTGTGGTCGTTGTTGCTATTGTTGTTGTTGTTGTTGTTGTTGTTGTTGTTGTTGTTGTTGTTGTTGTGGTTGCTGTTGTGGTGGTGGTGGTTGTGGTGGTTGTGGTGGTGGTTGTTGTTGTTGTTGCTGTCGTGTGGCGCGTGATGGTCGTTCACCAAACCAGAATCTTCCTCCCACGTAATGGTAACGGTCGTACGCAGGGGGCGGGTCTGACCCCCGCTCCCACACGCTGGTGCCCTCGCGCGTGCTATGGCGATCGCAGCGTGTTCCCGCACCGACGTGCCCCACCCCGGCCAAGCGTTACCAGTACCTGGGCCCGTGTTGACGACCGTTACCATACATAACGCAGAAGGAAGAGGCGGAGGAGGAGGAGGAGGCGGAGGAGGAGGACGAGGAGGATAATAGGAGGAGGGGGAGAAAAGGAGGAGGAGGAGGAGGAGGAGGAGGAGGAGGAGGAGGAGGAGAAAAGGAGGAAGAGTAGGAGGGAGGAGGCCCCCCTACGCTTCTGAGGCGATCCGGCCGATTCCCCGGTCCCTGCCCCTGGCTCGGTTGCGGCGGCTGCGGCGGCCGCGTGACCGCGGCGGGTGCGCGGCCAGCGCCGCCTGCGCGGAAAAGCCAGGCGGCGACAGCGGCGGCGACGGCCGCGGTGGCGACGGCGGCGGCGGCGGAGGCGCAGGTGAAGCCACGAGACGCGCCGCCGTGCGTTTCCATGCTTGCTTTTGTCTGTTGTGCACGCCACATTCGGGAAGGATCCTCTGCCCATCGCTGCCAGGAAACATCCTGCCCGCCTGTCCAGTCCTGCTCTCTTCCCCTTCCCTCCTCCTTTTGCTTCGCAGGAAGCGGCGGAGGAGGGACGGGGGGCCGCGGAAGTCGAGGGAGGAGCATGAGGTGATATCAGAGATTGGAGGAGGGGTGAGGGGGATAGGCGTCAGATGAGGAACAGGTGCCGATACCAGTGCTTTTTCTGGAGGGTCACCGTCACCACGGCTGGATTCTTCGCGAAATTCTGGTCAGAGCGCACCCCAGGAGAGGCCGGGGGAGAAGCGGTGTCGGAACTTTTTTTGTCTTTCCAAGCAGGGGAGAGGGGGGCAGGACATCGGGTCGGTGTATAGTCAGTGGGGGGCCTCCGCGTCGGTGCAAGGCCATCGAGTGGAAGAACTCGAACAAGCCAGAGATGTACAATGAGTACGCCAAATCGAGCATGTCCTTCTGGCGTTTGCCCCTCTCCTCCGCGCTCTTGTTGCTCCTCCTCTTCTCCTCTTCCTCCTCCTCCTCCTCCCACTCCTCCTGCCCTTCGCCCCCCTCGGCCGCAAACGAGTATGAGGTGGTTTGCGACGAGCGCGTTGTCTGTGTCTTCGTTCAGTGACGAGGAGCGCGATTAGGCGTTCGGCGTCTTCGGCCGGCAGCGGCTTTGCCGTGGCCCTTCTTTTCCTTGTTGTCGTCTTCCTCTTGAAGGAGTTGTGGGCGCGGCTGGACTCTCGGCGGCTCCAAGTCGGGTCGGCTTCTGGTCCATCATGAGATCAGGGCTCCAGGCTCTGCTGCTGGATCCTAGGGTCTCCCAACGTGCTTCAGAGCAGGGCTGGACCTGAACGCTGCTTTGCTGGACTTCGGCTGTGCTTTGTTTTCCGTTCTGGCAGGGAGGGACAGGAGAACAGGCAGAACAAAGCAACGAGAGCAACACGAAAGACAGCGTGTAGGTCAAACCCTGCTTCAGGGCATGCCAGAGCTACGTATCCGTTGGGATCCCAGGGCCTCCAACTCGACCCCCGAAGAAGAGTGCTACAAGCGCAGTTGGTGATAACGCACGTTCTGAGGATCGTCGGCTCTTTCACCGTTCGCGCCCATTGGTTTCGCCCGCCAGCCCGCCCAGCCTGCCGCCCGCCGGCCCGCCCAGCCTGCCGAAGCCAAGCTTCGGAGCCGCAGGCAGCCTGGCAAAGGTACCGAGCATACCTGCGCTGACACAGTGGTTGAATGCCGCCAATTTCCCGCAGTCGGCCGATATCAAAAGATCAGGGCTACTGGGGAGCCGCGATCGTTCGAGATTGAACGATCCACGCGGTTTAAGAAGTGGTGACGTGCGCAAGGGAATGGCGCGAGGGGGGGCGTCCTTCTGAGAAGGCGGGGTGGCTTCTGAGAAGGCAGCTGGACGGCACATGATACAGAAAGTGAGGGCGGGGTTGTGAGCGTGGGTGGTTGGGTGAGTGGGTGGGTGGGTGGGTGGGACGGCGCGGGCCATTTGGATTTATTTTCATCGCGATAGCTATTGTGTAGGTCTCTGGAACACCACGCGTTCGCAGAGAACCAGAAGCAGGCCACCACCTTTTCGCACCACTTTCCTCTCACCGTTGTTGCCACCGTATCTTTGTCTTACCTTGACGCCTGTGCACGGGAGAGGAATTCCAATGATTCCACTCTTGCAAACGTGTTTCCAGCCGGGCACGTACGTTTCAGTTCGTGGCACGTGTGGGCAGTTACGCTATCACCTCCTTGATGTGTTCTCATTGGTGCTTTTGGGGTGGTTCCACCTTCTGATAGTGTCTAGATAATGCCGAGGCTCTGGCCATAGTGGTTTATATCGTTCGCATGACTCCAGGTATTTGCTCTGATTCGTCGTCATCTTCCTATCCCTCTCCCCTTCACAGTCCCATTCCCCCGTCCCTTCCCTTCCTCTTTCCCCCTCCCTCCCTTCCTGTTTCTGATCCGGTTCCCTTTCTCTTCCTCCTCGTTCCCTGTTTCTATTGCGAAGGCCTTGCGGCCAGTGCCGCCGACCCTGAAGAGGGACGACGACGACGACGACGACGACGACGACGACGGCGGCGGCGACGACGACGACGACGTCGCTGACGCTCTGGGGCCCTTCTTGGGAATCTCTTAGAAGCCTCTTGGGCTTTGCTGGGGGGCCTCTTGAGGGACTTCTTGGGAAGCTGCGTGGTCACTTGGAGCCACCTCGGAGCGGATCTGAGGCTTCTTTGAGGCAGATAGGAAAATGCGCAGCACCCTGCAGCAGCAGACGATGGTGAGAAGGGTGCCTCTGGCAGTCGTCCCGGACGATTCGGGCACCCTTGGAATGCTCTCGGCGAGGCGCGGCTGCCGGAACGCACCCTGAGGCTGGAAAACCACCGAGAACCGCCGAGAACCGCCGAAAACGTCTTAAAGTCCCAACTCAGCCAGGGTGGGAGGGGGGAGGGGGTGGTGGTGGTGGTCCCCTTGTCTACAGGGGTTCCTTCCCTCTTTCTATTCTCTCCCCCTCTTCCTGTTCACTTTCACCGTTCCTTTTAAGGTTTTACATGTGAAGATCTGCGCCCTCTGCTACCAGCTTCCCAGGCTGAGCCATCTTGTGGCTATATTGTAACATGTTGGTGGTCATCTCGAGGTCTGTCTGGGGCATCGCAGGCCCTCTGAGCCCCTCCTGGAGCATCTTGGGCAATCTCGGAGCTACCTTGACGCTCTCGGGGCCGATCTTGATGCCCCCACTTTTGAGGGCATCTTGGGCCCTTGCTGGGCCATCCTGTGGAGGAGGAGGAGGAGGTGGAGGAGGAGGAGGAGGAGGGAGAGGATGAGGAGGAGGAGGACGAGCACGAGGAAGGACCCAGACATCCGGCCGCTCCAATTCTTGCGATGCGTGGGCCCTGGAGGTTTTGACCACTTCCCTGGGGCCAGTTTTTCGTCCTGTGTCGTTACCTGACGGTCCCAGGGCCCTGGCGAGGGCCCCCAGAGGCCAGCAGCGCCGAACACCGCCCGCTTCAACTTCTGTTGGAGCGTCGGATCTCTGCGGAGGAGGAGGAGGAGGAGGAGGAGGAGGAGGAGGAGCAGGAGGAGGAGGAGGAGGACGAGGATGGGAAACCTTGGTGGCCTTGGCAAGGACCTCCCCGCGGCGCGCCTCGCCCCGGTCGCTGTCAGAAAGGCCGCCCGCCGAGGCCTTCACCGAGATCCTCATGCGCGCCCGCCGGCAGCGTCTGGGCCTCCCGGCTCAGGCCTGGCCTGCTGCGAGGAGGAGGAGGGGGAGGAGAAGGAGGAAGAGGAGGGGGAGGAGGACGAAGAGGAGGAGGAGGAGATGGAGGTAAAGGGAAAGGTAAAGGTCCGTGCTGCGCCAAGCTGAAAACATCGGAGCGGGCTCGCGGCCCTGGAGACTGCCTGGGGCGGGCCTTCCGCTCTGTGCTGCAGCCCGTGCTGCGGGCAGTGCTGGGTGGCTGCCCCGCTGCAGGGACCCCTGCACACTGGTCTTCGTTTTGAGTTAGCAGTGCCCCGCGTCCTCTCCTCTCCTCTCCTCTCCTCTCCTCTCCTCTCCTCTCCTCTCCTCCTCTCTCTCTGCAGTCTCTCATCTCCTTCCTCTCCTCTTCTCTCTCCTCTACTCTTCTCTACTCTACTCTACTCTTCGCTCTCTCCTCTCCTCTCCTCTCCTTTCCTCTCTCCCTCTCCTCTCCTCTCCTCTCCTCTCCTCTCTCTCCTCTCTCTCCTCTCCTCTCATCTCCTCGTCTCTCATCTGTCCTCACCTCTCCTCTCCTCTCCTCTCTTCTCCTCTTCTCTCTACTCTACCTTTCTCCCTCTCCTCTCCTTCCTCTCCTCCTCTCTTCCTCTCCTCTCCTCTCCTCTCCTCTCTCCTCTCCTCTCCTCTCTCTCCTCTCTCCTCTCCTCTCCTCTCCTCTCCTCTCTCTCTCTCTCCTCTCTCTCTCTCTCCTCCTCTCTCCTCTCCTCTCCTCTCCTCTCCTCTCCTCTCCTCTCCTCTCCTCTCTTCTCCGCTCCTCTCTTCTCCTCTCCTCTCCTTTCCTCTCCTCTCCTTTTTCCTTTCCACCCCTCTCCTCCTCCCGCTCCTCTCCTCTCCTCTCCTCTCCTTTTCTCTCCTCTCCTCTCCTCTCCTCTCCTCCCATTCCTGCCTATGCCCTCCGCATGTCCACTTCGGCAAACCCCTCACACGTTCCGTGGCCCCAAAGGGAATTCCACCTAAGGCCACAATGGTTGCACCCGCATGCCACTTCCACCCAACTTTGGCGCAGCCCTGACACCCGTCGTTGCTCCATGAGGAACCACGAAACGTGTGGGGGAGTGCCACGGTGGGGTGACGGCGGGTGGGGCTCCTCATGGGGCCATGAAGCGTGTGAGGCGTGCGCCAGCGGGCGCAACCATTTGGGTCGTAGGTCGAGGTCCCTTTGGCGCCACGAAACGTGTCAGGTGTGCGCCAAAGTGGGATGGCGGCGGCATAGGGGGCGCAACCCTGCGGCCTTCGGTGGGCCTCACAAGGGGGCTCCACCGAAGGCCCCAGTGGTTGCGCCCGCGCCCGCATGCCGCCACCACCCCACTGGCGCTTCCCTCACGCGTTTCGTGGCCTCACAGGTAGCTTCACCTGTCACACCCCTCACGCGGTTCGTGGCCCCACAGGCAACCCCCTCTAAGACCCCAGTGGTTGCGCCCGCATGCTGACACCATCGCACTGTGGCACACCCCTCACACGTTTCATGGCCACACAGGTAGCTTCACCTGGAGAGACACCCCTCACACGGTTCGTAGCCCCATAGGGAACCCCACCCAAGACCCCAGTGGTTGCGCCCGCA